CACAGAACTCAGCTCAGTGAGACTCAGAGGTACAGCTTCTTTATTCAGTGACTCAGCTCGGCTCCAGGTCTTAGTGATTCAGCTCCAATAAATTAGGGGAAACCAGGATATTTATACTGTGGGGGCAGTGGCAAAAGCCTTAGTGGATAGGTGCTTTCAGGATGCCCCATTTACATGTGGTGGTGGGCTTCTGCCAGGCTGCCAGACATTGCCTAATTATCACACAGGAAAACCTGGCAGTTTCAGAGCCAGAGGCCATGTTTCTGTGACGGCTACTTCAAAGATGAGTCAGGAAGAGAGTGGGAAGGTGCCCTGCTGATAAAAGGAGTCTCTGCATAGAACGCTGAGCCTCGTGGGCTATCCGGACATGGAGAGACTGCTACTTTACACAACAGGGGTCCCCAACATATGGGTGTTCTGCCTGCATGTATGTAAGTGTACTCATGTCATGCAATACCCATGGAAAGCAGAAGAAGGTGTCAGATTCTCTGGAACTGGAGTTACAGATAGTTGTTAGCTTTCATGTGGGTGCTGGGAACTGAACCTAGGTCCTCTGCAAGAGCAGTCAGTGCTCTTGATAACAAATTGATCCATTTATTTTTTTTTAATTTTTAAATTTATTATTTTTATTTTATGTGTATGCACATATTGCCTGCATGTGTGTTAGTGCACCCATGTCATGCAATGCCTGCGGAGGACAGAAGAGAGCATCAGATCCCCTGGAACTGGAGTGACAGTTGTTAGTCACCATATGGTTGCTGGGATTTGAACCTGGGTCCTCTGCAAGAACAGCTAGTGTTCTTAACCACTTAGCTATCTCGCCAGTCCCCAAAGTTTGAACTTTTAAAACAAATTTTTAAAAACTAAGTATCTGGGTTTTGTGGTTTTTTTTTTTGTCTTTTTTTGAGACAGGGTCTCCTTGTAGACCCAGCTGGCCTGGAACTTGCTACATAGTTCCAGGTTACATGGCCTGGATCTCTGAGTTCAGGCTGGCCTTGAACTCAGAGATCCACCTGCCTCTGCCTCCTGAGTGCTGACTTGCCCCATGGAGAAAGCCTATCTTCAGCAGGAAGGATAAAATGCATGCACAGTATAAGCAAAGGAGAAAAGTGGGAAGCTAAGGAACAGGAGAGAATCCTGATAGTCATGAATCCCTGGATCTGGTCACACCAGAAGCCAACAACTTTTTTTTTTTTCCTTCCTTCCTTCCTTCCTTCCTTCCTTCCTTCCTTCCTTCCTTCCCTCCTTCCTTCCCTCCTTCCTTCCGTGTGTGTATCCAAGTATGTGTTCTGTGTGTAAAGGACATCTCTTAGGAGTTGATTCTCTCCTACTACCTTGTGGGGTTCAGAGGTTGAATTCATCAGGCCTGCACACAGGCACCTCTATCCACTGAGCCATCTTGCCTGCATTGACTCTTTTCTTCATTTTGGTTATGTGAGTCAATCGATTATCCTTTTTGCCTAAGCCAGTTTGAGATGGATTCTTGTGTACAACCAAGAGTTTTGACTTGGGGTCATGATTTTGTTGTTTCTTTTTTTTCCCCTCTGGTGTTGGTGATCAAACCCAGAGCTTTGCACATGCTAGGCAAGCACTCTACCATTGAGCCACATCACCCCTAAAATGTTTTCAAATTATCAACAAGGCATTATCATCTAATAATTCTGTTACATTGAAAAGGTCTAACATGGCCTACCCTTGCTTACCTGGCCTGGGCTAGGCTCAACAAAGCATGTAGTAATGGAGGTGATCCCAGATGTGATATTGTAGAGCCAGCTAATGCCAGTGGTCACGGTGTGTAAGATGTGCTCCCTGCTGTGAACATAGTGATAGGCCGTGCTGAAAACATTGGCAACACCCTGAAAAGGCAGAAGATTCAAATAGCATTTTCTTTTTAAAATAACAAAGTGATCAGTAATGCATTAATTGGGTTATCTCTTAAATTAATGATAATCTACGTCCTACAAATTAGTTAAAATTAGCTCTCAAAAGTTAGTTTTCCAGGGTATATTATACAAGAAGGATCAATAAGACATCAAAGGGTAAAGAGAGATCAACAAAGTTTTTTATGCTTCATGATAACCATCCAGTGAAATTTGTGATATGTGCGGTTTTTGAACAGAATCAGAAGATAAGCTTTGAAATGACAAAAAAGATGTTTAAAAGCCAAAATTCTATCCCTAGGCAGAATGATAGGAGATGCTCTGATCTGATACCAACATTAATTTTTGCATCTATGACCACTATCATCAGGTCAGGAGAACAGGATGTTTGGTTCTAAGACTTGGAGATGCTAGTTATACAATCTTTCTATAAACAGAGACCCTGTTTCACAGAGAAGGGATAGAAGTCCATAAAACCTGTCTGTGACCTTGTCAGGAAATTCTAGGAGTGGGGTTGGAGAGATGGCTCAGTCATTGAGAGCACCGGCTACTCTTGTAGGAGACCCAGGTTCAAATTCCAGCACCCACATGGAAGCTAACAACTGTCTATGACTCAGTTCCAGGAGATCTGACACCCTTTTCTGACCTCTGCAGGACTGTACAACACAAGTGCATTTACATACATGTGGGAATAACACTCATAACACATAAAATAAAAATTAATCAAAGAAATTCTAGGAGCTGTAAATTCTTCAAAGTCACACACATACAGACAGAGAGACAGAGACAGAGAGGGAGAGAGAGAGACAGAGAGAGAGACAGAGAGCGACAGAGAGATCCAGATTCAAGTCATCCAAGGGTGGTAACCCAGGAGGCTTTATTTCCCAGGACTAGAGAGCTAATTTGTAATTCATTTGGGCATGCTCACTAATAGACTATATCATCTACTGCTGACTCCACATTCCTCCATTTTGCTCCTTAATGTCTTTGTCTCATAATAATTTGACACGAGAATGAATCTTATTAAAAAGATGTTCAGAGGGGCTGGCGAGATGGCTTAGTAGTTAAAAACACTGGCTGTTCTTGCAGAAGACCCAGAGTTGAATCCCAGCACCCACATGGCAACTAACAACTGTCCATAACTCCAGTTCCAGGAGATCTGACAGCCTCTTCTGACCTCTGTAGGCATTACATGACACAGGTGATCTTACATACATGCACGCAATACACTCATACACATAAAATTAAAAAAAATAATATAAAGATATTCAGAGAAAGACATTCTTCCATTTTCCTCAGTTAGCCAGCCATTAGAGAAAATGAAAAATAATGGTAAATGAGCATAAAAAAATACAGGCTTCCAGCACAGAACTGGGAAAATGAACAGCAGACCCCAATCTCATCCAAAGGAATAGTGACAACTGATTACTGCTCGATGAGGAACAGCTGACCCTCCTAAAACAAAGACCTCTAGATAGGCTGACTAGATTCACCAGAAGGGCAAGTAGTGGGGAATGGCTGAGGGTGCCGACAACACAGCAGACAGTAGCAGGGATATCAGAGTATAAGGGCTCTAGTGGAAAAAAAAAATACGGGCTTCTAGGGGAACAAGGGGGAACAAGTGACAAGGGCACAGCAAGTTCTTGGCTTGCTACACTCCACAGTCCATTGTCGCCACAGGCTTTACATCTTTCTTCATTTTAGTTTCTATCCATAAAATTAGATGAAAATGTTCTACTATTTCATAGTCTTTTTAGCAAAAAATATTTTATTTATTATTCTTATTTTATGTGTATGCATTTATTGCCTACTTGTAGGTAAGTGCACCTGTGCCATGCAATGCCCGCGGAGAACAGAAGAGGTTGTCGAATCCCCTGGAACTGGAGTTACAGCCAGTTGTTAGCTGCCATGTGGGTGCTGGGATTCGAACCCGGGTCTTCTGTAAGAACAGTCAGTGTTCTTGACCGCTGAGCCATCTCTCCAGCCCCCCTTTTTAAAAAAATATTATTTCTATTTCTTAGTCTTAAAAGTGTCTATCATTTTTTATGATAATTTAAAAACAGGAATACTCGGGGCTGGAGAAATGGCTCAGCAGTTAAAAACCCTGGTTGTTAATGCTGAAGACCCAGGTTTAAATCCCAGCACCCACATGGCAGCTGACAACTGTCCGTAACTCCAGTTCCAGGGGATCTGATGGCCTCTTCTGTCCTCCGTGAGCATTGCAGGACATGAGTGCACTTACCTACATGCAGGCAACATAAACATACACATAAAATAAAAATAATAAATAAAATATTAAAAAGAAGCAAATACTTTCTTAAAAAACATGAATACTCTAGAACAAAGGATGAATAGAACACTAATGCATCTTTCAACTCTCATCAATGAAGCTCCCTCATGCAACAGAGGGCCAGAAACACAGAGAATAAATGGCTAAAATACAGAGAATAAGAGTCTGTGGATTGTGGGTCCTTCGACAGGACTCCTATATTAAAATCCACTCACTCAGGGCTCAGGGGCCATAGAGAAAGAGGGGGTGGAAAGATTGTAAGAGCCAGGGAGGAGGAACAGTACCATATGGAAATAGTCCTACAGGTTCCTGGGATTCTTCTCATATGGACCTACAGCAATGGTGTCAGCACACACAAGACCCATGCAAACTTAAGCAGACAAACACCCAGCACAGAACTGTGGAAATGAACAGCAGGCTCCAATCTTCATCGAAGAATTATTGGCAGCTGATTACTGCTGGGTGTGAAAGAGCTGATCTTCTCAAAGGGAAGGACTCTAGATAGGCTCTAAATCCCAGTGGATCAACTTGCACTGAGGGACATCTGGGGACACTAACTTTAGATGATAGGCCTTAACACAAATGAGAGAAGGTATGAACTCCAGTGGGGGTGGGGGGATGGGAGGGTGCCAAAGGGGAAAGAGGTACAAAGATGATTTTCTGTATGAAATACACAAAAATTCAAAAAAAAAAAAAAAAACATGAATACTCAAGAAACATTTTTGCCTTTTCCTTTCTTCCTTTCTCAAAAACTGTAAATGAAGAGCTATGAGGGTGCATATCACATTTAGTATCCTTCATGGAAAAAACAAAGGGGTATGAACGCCAGGGGGGGGGGGGGGATGGGAGGGTGCCAAAGGGGAAAGAGGTACAAAGATGATTTTCTGTATGAAATACACAAAAATTCAAAAAAAAAAAAAAAACATGAATACTCAAGAAACATTTTTGCCTTTTCCTTTCTTCCTTTCTCAAAAACTGTAAATGAAGAGCTATGAGGGTGCATATCACATTTAGTATCCTTCATGGAAAAAACAAAGGGACTTTTTTTTTA